ATTAATATTTTTTTTCAGTTGATGAAATAATATTGTCTACTTTTTCTTTTTAATTGTTTTCTCATACACATCGTATTTTTGAATGATGAAAATCGGTACAGATATGTTCAGTGATCCTCAATAATAATGTGTCATCAGTTCTTCTCAAAAATACCACAATACTACATTTTCTGATCACCTATTAAAAAAAAACATAATTCGTTTTTTCGGACACCCTGTGTTTTATGATGATAAAAGTCAGTGAAGGTGTTTTTCAAGTGATCGTGATTCAGAATCCATTATTGTTTTTTGTGAAAAAAATCCCGAATAGTACTTTCTCAAATATGGGTCAATTAAGTTGGTCGCAGTTGGCCACGATTACAGTTCATGAGTAAAATCTCTTGTCGGATGGACATTTCAAATACCTATCCAACAAAAAAAAGTTTTTTGAAATCGGTCAGATAATAACAATTTTACAGGGGTGGTAAGTCCTTAAGGTGGACACACTGTATATTCAAAAGAATCTAACAAACGGTTACCGAGATATTCACCTGGTTCCATACTTTTGCCCAACCCGTATACAGTGTGTCCCACTTACCATGCTCACCATGGGTTAACGGTGAGAGATACGAGGTCGGTTAAATGACACCAAATGTGGAGTTTGTCAAGGCCAACTATAATGTGAAAAAATATTTTGATAAAATCTATTCGTTTTTTTTTATACGCAAAAAACAGATTTTGATCATTTTCATGTCTCCTCCGTAACTTCTTTATTCATGAAGATATTCAAATAGGAATTTCACATTATCATGGCAGTTTTTCAATGTGATTTCGAAAAAAATATGAAATTTATACCAACTCTTCTAGAATTTGAGATATCAGCACCAACTTCAGTTTTTCAAATGTAGGTCATAGCTCACTATGACTTAGTTACAAATAACTTTTCTTCTCTTACAGATGATTTGTCTCAGTAATAGTTTTGTGTTGATAACAACGGAGTTATCAAAACAAAACTATTACTGCGACATATCATCTGTAAGAGAAGAAAAGTTATTTGTAACTAAGTCATAGTGAGCTATGACCTACATTTGAATAACTAAAGTTGGTGCTGATATCTCAAATTCTAGAAGAGTTGGTATAAATTTCATATTGTCATGAGCATGTGAAATTCCTATTTGAATATTTTCATAAATAAAGAAGTTACGGAGAAGACATGAAAATGATCAAAATCTGTTTTTTGCGTATAAAACAAAAACGAATAGATTTTATCAAAATATTTTTTCACATTATTGTTGGCCCTGACAAACTCCACATATTGGTGTCATTCAACCGACCTCGTATCCCTCACCGTTAAAAAGATACCCATGGTGAGCATGGTAAGTGGGACGCGCTGTATACCTTCTTGGTTCGTTAGTTGTATACATTTTTTTTAGAAATACAATAATACTCCCAGAAACAATAACGTTCTGTACTTCCAAGAAAACCCAATCCAGACTATCAGGAACAATGTAGTCCATCAGCGACCACCAATAAGTACTTTCAGGCCTCATCAAGATAACGAATATGAATACGATTTCGAAAATAATGTGAGACCCTCCAGTGCATATTCCGCAAGCTCCAGAATTACAGAAGTTGTTGATGAACCCCACAAAATCACGCCACAAAATACAAATAATGTTTCTCAAAAATCGACATATGACACACCAGAAACTCAATATGGATATACGGAAAAACAACAACAGGCTAAACCTCCAGCACAAAAAACAAAAACTCAAACTTCTTGCTCATCCGCAAAATACCCTCCACTTCCACTAGATTATTTTCCTGCTTCTGAAGACGATGTGACGAGTAATACTACGCAAAAAATAGCGAAAAATCATTGTCCTGTGATTTACAAAAGTGCCAGGCAAACAGTGCCCAAAAACAAAGGCATTAAGAATAATTTACCACCCCTGATGCCCTGTTCAGATAGGTCATCCATGGCCAGAAAATTGAGCGAAGACAAGCCAAGGAAAAGGAAGCTTTACAATCCTGATGATCTAGAGTACCTTCAAAGTTTGATGGAAACAGATGAATAGTTCCAAAAGTTGAAAATGTGTTGAGTTTATAGGAATATTCAATGTTATATAATTTGTTCGAGATATTAAGTTCATATATTGCATATAATTCGATTATATCTTATGTCAAAGGACAAATAATTGATGAAAATAAATGGATATAGCTAGGCCTATACAGCGTGTCTCATTTCAAACGGCCCCCTTCTATACAGGGTGTATCTAAATAACACCGAAAAATGTAATGCTTCTTTTTCGAGATACAGGGTATTAATATTTCCATTAAAAATCGTTTTTTGTCTTTTCATCAATTCCAATGAAACGTTGTGGTTTTGTTGATACTAATATAAGGCTTCTTCTGGTGCAATTGGATTCAAAATAATATTTCCAGTGGCGTCACAGTAAGTAAATTTATCGATATTTATGGTGCATGTCATTGTTCGCCACCGGTTTTTCTGAGTTATATATTTTTATTAGAATGAACTATTGAAATAACGTTTCTATCCTTTGTGTGATTTTTGTATCTTGCTTAATTCTTGATGAAACAATGAAATTTCAATTTCCAATCAGAATCATTTTGAAATTTTCGGACTCAGTCTCCAACCATACTGAATTTTGGCATCATGAGAGCAGGGGGATATTATTCATGAAAACAATCAATACTTCCAACTTCAACATTCTGTATCTCAAAAACAGAGCAAGTTAGGACACATTTTTGTATTAACTTGATTTGCTAGAATATCACAAGGAATATCACCCCTTGAATTTTTTCGGTATTATTTAGATATACCCTGTATATCAGCTATTCGTCGTGTGATATTCACCAAATTTGGACCGATATATGAATAACCGTCAATATGGTCAGTTTTTCATGGACAAGCATCATGTGAGACAGTGCCGTGCGGTTTTATTAAAATACAAAAGGGTAATATTCTCATGAAATCATACCTATATTAGGAATTTTTCACAGGAAAACTGACCTCATGATATTCTTCTTCATGGTTTCAAACCCCCATGAGTAAATTCTCATATAATTCCCATAAAGGGTTTCAAGGAAACAGGCACATATCTCAACAGCATTTTTGCTATCGTATGATACTTACAAAGAGAAAAACTCAAAGTCCTTACTACAATAGCTCATATAATATGAACGAAAATGGTAGATAACGAGAGAAAAACAACTACTTTCCTGGCTATATGCCACGCCAAATATTCTATTACATCCTCCCGAAATCTATATGCAATAATCTTATTATAGACGAATGAAATCTCAAGTGTTTCCTTCCGAAACGACTTGCTGCGATTAAGTTATTCAGAAACGCGTGATGACTACTGCAGACCGATTTCGAGCTGTTGGCTCTCATCAGTGCAGGGCTGTCCCAGATAGCATTGTTGACCACTACCTAACCTCTGACTCAACGTAAACGCATATCAACATTTATACCCCACCCCGCCTCCTAAGATTTATTTAAACAGAGCGTATCGAAACATCATGCAATTCATAAGTGTATTATGTTATTAAATGAAATTAATAATGGTATATAGGTGATTATAATGAGGAATAAGTTTGAACATATTTTTCAATATCAGATCAAATATGCAAATCTAAAATTCGGTAGAAACTGGCAACTCTGCAGCAAACGAAAAGTGTTTGCGGACAAAAAGTTGGTGTTTGCTGACGAAAAGTACTTGCCTTCGATATAATAGTCGGTTTCTAACTGTTCGGAAATTAGATTTGTGAAATATGATTTTTCCTAGAGGTATTTTTTCTCCTAGCTAAAATCTATTCTTGATGGTCTCTCTCTAACACATGGAGTTCTTAAGGAAAATGCCATTAATATGAAAATTTCGAATAAGTGCGACACACCGTTATTGATTATGGAGATCAAAAGCTATTCAAATAATAAAAAATCCAGGGCCATAGGTATTCAAAATGAAAAAAAAAAATAACAAAGTTGATGATGGCAGCTTATAGACGAAACGTCGGTTGATAACACGGCTGATAAAATAACCTTATTGTAGAACAGAAAAAGTAGCAACGGGCATGTGTGATTTGTTTTGTTTCCCGGTATGTATCTCAGGTATATTATAGTCATGCGATGTTCGATACTTACGTTTACCAAATATGGACCGGTATGAATGATAAATATCAATATGATCAGATTTTCATGGATGATTATATCATTTTGGGTAGTGCTGTGCGTTATTACCAAAATAAAAAGGGGTAAAAAAGTAGTTTTTTTTAAATTGTTGATACAAAAGTGATTATATCAGAAAAATGGAGAATGTGGCAACCTGGCAACAAATTTCATAATCAAAAATATATCATGCAAACACCCTGTGAAATTCTGCTGCAAATGCAATAAAAAGATCATCAATTCAAAATTAATTTTGACATTAAATTGAACATACTTATTTAGGTAGGTGAGTATTATGAATATATCTATTAATTTCCTATATTTCTAAAACTTGGAGATGCTCTGAATCACATTACTTACTTACTTTAATCTTGCTGATGGCTTTTTCATAGGAAATCACGATATTATGTGTTTTTAAGTACCATCAATCTTGAATTTCCGACAGGTAGGTACACATGAAAACAGGTATAACTGCAACCCTTTAGGTGGGTCGTTACATATGTTTCTCATAGGCATCAGAAGCTAGAGTCTTCTTATTAATATTGCAATAATAATTGTGTTTTGCATGAGTAACAGAATCGGAATTATTAATATTTGAAATATCTAGTTAGTTAAATTTTTTACGTGTGGCAATTGCTATCAATCTTGAAGTTGTCAACCCTGATTTTGACATAACAAGACATAACCTTGTTTTAGTAGTGTCGTGCTAGCAACCAAAATTTCAAAAGTTCTTTAAAATATCCAAAAGTTTCCGAATTTTCTTAAACAAATTGTGAACGTTGAAGCAAATCCACTGTTATAGATGTAAAGGTAAAGTGGATTCGACAAAATGGCAGACGTTTTCCATTTGGAATTGCATGATGTTGAAACAGTGGAAGTTGATGATTCAGACGATGCAATCGAAATTGAAGAGGTAAATACACTACATTCCATATGCATTATTTCTTGTGTGATATCTTAACAGTCAAGAATTTTCGTATTAAACTTGGGACTACCAAATTGCTTATCTAGCGAGTTATCTAGTCTTTAAGTGTATTATAATTTTCCACAGTTCTTTGTACCATTACTTGAGAGAATGATCAAAGCTGATATATGATATTATAAACATATTTAGTATGTAGTAATATTTTATTGTTTATGGTTTCAATATTTATCAATCATCAGATATGAAAAACAATGAATTTTACAATGTTCTTCATGAATTCATGTAAAATGACAGTGCTTTTTTTCAGGATGAATATGACCAAAACCCCAATATCAATGCTATTGTTGAGTAAGTATTTCAATATATAATGGAAGTATTATTCATTGAAGTAATTATAAGTAACTAGATATTCTAGGAAGAATTCACAAATTGATCAAGCTATAGAAAATGTGTTGTCATATAGGTTATATCATTCAAGGGCTGATTCATTCTTATTCATATCACTCCCAGTGATTTCACCTATTTGGGTATTTGAACTAATCAATTTAAATTTCATGAAGAAGCAGTGACCTAATAATCCTCTATGAAAAGTAGGTCATGTGTTCTGTCTCAAAATAGCTTCCTATAAACATTTTGAATCTTCTGTCAATAGTATCCCACTTTCAAAAACAGAAATCTCAGCATGACTTCTAAGTTTATAATCACAGGAGTTTACTATGAGATATATAATTATCACACAAAATGATCCATTATGGTAGAATATGTGGTTAAAAAAATGTTTAATAGGACGGATGATACAGAAACTGTGCAGCTGACAGAACAAACTGTCAATCCTGGCCAGGAAAAAACGGGACCACAGGATTTTGAGCTTCGCAAAGTTTTGGGCAAAGGTGGCTATGGAAAGGTATTCCAAGTCAGGAAGCTGACTGGAACAGATGCAAACACTGTGTTTGCAATGAAAGTACTCCGTAAGGCTTCCATAGTTAGAAATCAAAAAGATACTGCTCATACAAAAGCAGAAAGAAATATTCTAGAAGAAGTTAAGGTACAGTATGTCTGTTATGTTTCTTTTACAGATTCTGAGAATTACATTTTTTCAGCACCCATTCATAGTAGATTTGAAATATGCCTTCCAAACAGGTGGAAAATTGTACTTAATCCTAGAATATTTGAGTGGTGGGGAGCTGTTTATGCATTTAGAAAGGGAAGGCATATTTTTAGAAGACACTGCTTGGTAAGCATAACAAGTTGATTTATTTGGAATTATCTTAAAAATTCTTTCAGCTTTTATCTAGCAGAAATAATCCTAGCCTTGGAACATTTACATGGACAAGGTATAATTTATAGAGATTTGAAGCCTGAAAATATACTGCTTGATGCTCAGGGTCATGTCAAGCTGACAGACTTTGGACTGTGCAAAGAACACATCAATGAGGGTATTCTCACTCATACTTTCTGTGGTACCATCGAATATATGTAAGTCTGAAGAATGATAGTGAATATGATTCAAATTGAAATAAAAAATATGAAAACATAGTAACCCTATCCTATCCACACTTCATTCAAACATTTGACATTTAATGATACATCTAAAAATATCATGTAAATATCTATTTCTTGACAACATAGCACTTATTTCAATTACTTTTTCCCAAAAGTCAAGTTGCCATCCATTATTGTATTTAGAAAAATAATCGATGAGATGAAAATTGAAAAACATATTGTGCCATTTAAAAAACAATTGACAGTGGCTGATTTTACAATTGAAATTTGAGAAGATAATGATCAGAGCATGGTGAGTATCTTCATTAGCTTTTTTGTTTTTCTAAGTCGGGTAGTAATTAGTAGCGGCGCTATGGCATCGGGCGTTCTTTGTCAGTCACTTTGTGTATATAAGTGAAATGCCTATGATTTTAAGATTTTGTAATGGAAACACCCCTGTATCTTATGTAATCGTTGGGTAAGGATCCTATAATTTGCTGGAGCGAGAGATATACCAAAAATACACTCTATGGCCAAGTGGGGTCATCTTCAGTTATATACCCTGCTCACCAACAGCCATGGAACCACCCCAATTTCCGGAAAATGATATTAGGAGTCAAAATAGGTTGAAAATCACTTCAGATTCGGAATCAGGACGCCAAAGTCACTAACTATTCATATTTCTCCTGAAAATTTTTCAATGCTGGAAAATTAAATTTTGTCGCACTTTTTACGGAAGCACCCCCGTATCTTCCGTAATTGACTTTATCTTTGGACTTTCCCTTCCTCCTGCAAATTTCAGAACCCTACCTCAATAATTACGTGAGATACGGAAGTGCTTCCATGAGAAGTGAGATAAAATTAAATTTTTCTGAACTGAAAATGTTCTAGGAAAACTATGAATAGTTAGTGAATTGGGCGTCCTGATTCCGAATCCGAAGTGATTTTCAACCTATTTTGACTCCTAATATCATTTTCTGGAAATTGGGGTGGTGCCATGGCTGTTGGTGAGCGGGGTATATAACTGAAGATGACCCCACTTTGTCATAGAGTGCATTTTTGGTATATCTCTCGCTCCAGCAAATTTCAGGATCCTTACCCAACAATGGGCGTGTACACCTTAGTAGAACTTTTTACTCGAACCATGTTTATAATGATCCTTTTATACATAAATAATGATTGACGACATAATTCGATCGAAAAATTAACTGGAATGTTTTATTTTTGGACATAAATAATAGTACCTTCTGAAAACGGACCCTCTTATGACGTAGAAACCTCATCTCGACATAGTTAAAAGAAAATACCAAACGCCCGACGGAGACTGAAGCAACTGATATATTAATTCTTTCAACTGTGATCTCGCGCTAATTCACTCTGTCAGAAATCATGTATCATTCATATCTGTCTGGAATAGTCTTGTTTCAGTATTAGGGTTTTGACGTCACATCATCGCCTCGTTTTCAGAGGTCCGAAAAATCGGGGATTTCAATAATTTTTTTATAAAACGTAGGGAGCTCACAGCAAGAAACGGTTTGCGGTGGTGAGCTAGTTTGGGTGAGTTCTATCGAATTATGAAATAAAACTTTTTTGTGATATAAGCCCATTACATAAGATACAGGGGTGTTTCCATTAAAAGTGGGCCACACTGTACATTTGGAAACTCAGTTCGAAATACATAAAAGGAATATTCCGGGTCTTCATATTTCTCTTCCTCTATCAACGAATATGATGTATGTTTATCTAAACGCCAATCTAAATTTCATACAAAATGAAACTTTCTTAAGTACAAAGGGATACACCAGTTCCATATCATGTTATTCAGCAGTTTCATAGTTAATTTTCATAGTTTTTCATTGTTCAATGTTCAGAATTGAAGTTACTAATGGCATATTGATATAAAAAAATGGTGAGTCCCCCAATAGCTAAACATAAGCATTGAAGTGTTTATAGCTGACTATTAATTCAGACTTTGTTACTTTCAAGGGCCCCAGAAATCTTGACTAGGCACGGTCACGGAAAAGAAGTCGACTGGTGGTCTCTAGGGGCACTCACCTATGACATGTTAACAGGAGCTGTAAGTGGATCAATGATCACTCTCCTTTCATCCACCGATGATATTCTCGTTTTCAGCCACCTTTCACTGCCGAAAACAGAAAAAAGACAATAGAAAAAATCCTAAGAGTGAAACTCAACCTGCCCCCATACCTAACCGGCGATGCCAGAGACCTGGTGAGGAAGCTGCTGAAGAGGCAGGTGCCTTCTAGGCTGGGTGCAGCCCCAGAGGATGCTCAGGCTGTTAAGCAGCACCAGTTCTTCAAGCACATCAATTGGGACGATGTGTTGAGCAGGAAATTGGATCCTCCTTTCAAGCCTAGCCTGGTGAGTGTGTTTTCACCGATGATGATTCGAGGATTGGAATGATACCCCAAACTATATTTAATGTATTCAGATTCCTTAATATGAGACAACTTTTTTTTTTCAGTCTGGTGATGATGATGTGTCACAGTTTGACACCAAATTCACGAAACAAACCCCGGTGGATTCACCAGTTGAATCTACTCTCAGTGAAAGTGCCAATTTGATATTCCAGGTTAGTGCAAGTAAATTATAAAAACAAACATTTCGGTCGGCAGCATTTATCTTCAGAGGAGATAGTATGACCATGTATGACATAATGTGACATTATTTGTCATAAATTGACAAATCGTCATTTATATATCATATAGATCATGTTTCTAAGGGAAGTAGGATTGCTTACAGTCACTAAAGTGCTAAAATATTCAAACAGTAATTCGTTATTACTTGGATATGCTTGGAGGAACTGCAGGGAAATAAATAATTTCCATCAAAACAATATGCACCCACAAACCCCAATATCCTGGAAGGAACTTGGAGTGGTTTGGCTCTATGATTGAATAGTTCCAGAGGCCCAATGAGGGATGAAAAGAAATGGAGAACAGTTTTGAATAATTCACTTCTCAATCTACCTATTTTGTAACTTGAAATCATACCCATTTTTAACATGTACAATATCTTGAAGATTTGATACAGTGAGGTAATTGTCTACAAGTATGTCTGATATTTCATAGATACATCTGCTTGGAACATAGCTCATGATTTGCCTCTTTCTATAAATTTTTGGTAACAACAGATAGGTACATCAGTAAGTAGGTACTTTCCGATTATATTCCTACTGGCTTCTTTGGGATACTGCGACATATTATGAGAGAATACCTCCCAAACTATAGCTCTCTGGGTAACCGACAATCCTCCCGAAAGTTTCCTTCATTGGACTTTCGGTTTACGAGCGTTCCTCAAGCGTCTATTCAAATTTTTATTCACTCGTCTGAATCGAAATAAACGGTGAATATCAACAAATATTCATATTTAACTCCTCTGAAACCCTTCTGAAAATTTAAAAAGACTGACTGGATCCATCTCCAACAGAAAACCGATGGATGAGAGGATATTATGCGTTCATTGTTTTTGTATTCATGTTATCCTATCGATACTTTGAATAGCTATCGTCTATAAAAGATGTTCTGATGACAGCTTGTCGTTTGTTACCAACTGTCAAACCGGTACCGGTAGTGAATTCGATTCAAGAGAATTATCATTATTTAACGATATGTCATCCACTAAAGACACGTAACGATAACGTAAATGTCATACTGTATAGGCCTGTTAGTATTTTTTTATAACAGGTGGTGAATTGAATAGTTCCTCGATATACCTACCATTTTAACTTGTTGAAGCTGAGTTGGAGTTATAGGTAGGGGTCGATAGGGATTGTAGAAACTTCACAAATGATAAGCTATTCACAGAATTTTCGAGAAGACATGTTTTACTAATACAGTAGTTTCTTCAAGAATTTTGTTGAAAGTTTATCGTTTATGAAGTTTTTACAGGGTGTCCCGAAATTACATAGAAATATTCTATAGACGAAACTAATAAAGAAAAGTATAAACATTGGTCAAGTAATGTCAACAGTTTTGATAGCATTGGAACTGAAAACGGTGTATTTTATCAAAACATGTCAAAACTTAACAAGATTACCAATTTTAGGTAAAAATGATGGGGTCTCTATATTTTCTGGTCAAACTGGCGAACCTTGCATTAAAAAAAGGGGTTGGGAACAGTGCCCCTAATGCAACCGATTGAAATTCGGGAATATTCTCAACATTTCTTTGTTCTTAGCATATAAAATTGTATGTTTTCTATTTAGAGCAAAAAGATCGCGTGCACGATTACCGACCTTGGAGGTAAGACATGGAAACACAACCTCACTTTTCTGTGAAACATTGAAACACAACCTCACTTTTCTTATTCGTTTACAAAGGAATCAAAGGATTTCAATAGTTGTTCACAATATGTTAAGCATACAAATCCTGTTTTCTGAGCAATTCATTTATTCAAGCATGCTGTTGTACAATGCACAAAAATGCAGCTAGAGGCAAAGGAATATTATTTTTCAGGTAAATAGTGATCTCACATAGTCTTCATTTTGAAAAATTGTCGTTTCTCATAAGAATTCCTTTTGACACTTCTGCAATAGGATTGAAGCTAATACTGCTAATTCAGTGGACATGTGTACAACACACACGATTATATATCGTCAGCATGTCAGACCAGTCCACCCGTTTGATTGGTTGAATCATCAATATTCTTGCCTTCTTTTAAAAACTTCACGAGTACCTATTTCTTTTAGCTCCTATTGCAGAAGGAATTCCAATGAGAAATAGCAAAATTTCATAATGAAAACTATATGTGAGTACCTGGAAATCGGATTCCTTCATCTCTCGCTGCATTTTTTGTGCATTGTACAATAGCACAATATGATGGCATGCTTGAAAATAAGAGAGAGAGAGAGAGAGAGAGAGAGAGAGAGAGAGAGAGAGAGAGAGAGAGAGACAGACCATCTTTATTAGGGATATACCCCAAAAGGCCATTTAAACAACTTCTTTCTGCAACTTCGATGTGCTTAAGGGTAGTTTTTAGAGGACGGCATATGGCTTTGTATATTGATGTCGCTGTTGTTGTCTTTATTCCCTGAATCTTGTAAGTCAAACCACGAAAATATTTGGCTCTTTCAATTGCTTTCTACTTGACTGCTATGAGATGTCTCTGGAACTTGAGTTTATTGTCTAGGAATACTCCAAGATATCTAGTTTCTGCTATTGGATTTATGGTCTCATTAAGAATATCGATGGTCGGGGAATTGTCCTTTATTTTATGGTGGAAAATCATAAGATTACATTTTTTGGATCAGGTGTTAATCTCCAGTTACAAAACCATTCAGTCAGAGCTGTAACAATAGTTTGGAGTTTGTCCATGAGTCCAAGAATATTTTTGGCATGTGCAATAATTGTATTATCATCAGAAAATTGAAGTATGTAATTGTTCCCGTTCAGTGGTAGCTGATTGCCGATATCATAGCAAAAAATGTTGAATAATAATGGAGCTTGAAATAAGAAATAGCTGAAACACACGATTCCTATGCCATAATCATTGTGAAAAACTATTTCATATATCATTTGTAAACAAATAAGAAAAGTGAGGTTGTGTTTCGATGTTTTACTGCCAGGGTGGGTCATCTGACAGATCTTGCACGCAACCCATAACACTTCTCCTATATGTAGCTGAAATTTTTCCCATGTAATTTCGGGACACCTCGTATATCGAATCGATTCCAGGGCTTCACGTACATCGCCCCCTCGGTCCTCGGGGAACAAATGCCTTCGCACGTGGTAAGAGCGCGTTCCCCGCGCAAGCCGGGCTCCTCTTTCCGGCGTCATTTCGGTTTCACGCATGCGCAACACGGCAACATTCTCGGCCCGCACTGCAGCTTCCCCGAAACGCCATCAGGGGGCGCCAGCCATCACCACAATCACCACAACCACAATCCGTTCGCGCCGGCGCACAATTTCAATATGGCGTCGGCAGGCGAGGAAATGATGGAAGTCGGCAGCGGTCTACCTCACGTGTAGTTGTAGCTTATAACGTTACCTTTTGTATGAAATATAATAGGAGTTTTTTGATAACGAGCCGATACGTGTAGTTCAATTTTTTTTTGTTGGTTATGTGGGGGGTCGTGCTGAATTGTCGAGATATAGAAATGAGCGGAAGTTTCGGGGGTGGTAGAGATACAGAGTGTTTTTTGATTCAATCGAGCCAATCGTGAGCCAACTCCCAACAAGAAAACAGGAAAAGAAGTTAGTATTCAATGTCATCGGAGATCAGTGATCCATCGTTGATGCTGCAGCTTCCTGAAGGAGAATTTTCGAGCCTATGCCGATATCAACTTTTTTTCATTTTTGTCTTGGCAATCAGCTCACGAAACATCCCGATAGGGTTTAGAAGCCCCTGTGAAATTTGTGAATGCGGCTAGACAATTCATTTAGTTCAGTTCTATCTTATGGTTTCCTGATAGATTATGAACTTGTTTAGCACCAGCTAGAGTATGATCCATGGTTTACCGGGCACCCTGTTTATAAATAGGAAATGGTTATTAGCCATTTTCATATCTTGTCTTGGTTTGCTGTGTGATGACTAGGCATATCAGAACCAAATACTCTTGTTCAGTTGGTAAAGTAGTTAGCTTAGATGGGTGTTGCGTACCAGGCTAAAATATGTACCAAGTGGCCACGTTTATACAGTGACTTTGTAATGACTATATTTCGACTAAATACTCTTGGTCAGTTTGGTATGAACTGTATACTTGGTGATTACCAGCTTGGTTTGGTACCGTAATTTGTTGCGTACCAGACTAAAATAGTACGATGACCAAGACATTTTGGTCTACCTTTGTGTAGCCTCGACTTGACTTGAGTGCAGGTGGCAGTAATGCATGGGTTCTCATAATAATATTCCATTCAATTCCAGCTAATTTCGTATCCTACTAAAAGGTTTTATTCTTAGTTTACGAATTTAAGTAGAATTCCACAACCTATAACCTCAAAAAAATAATCAAATAAAAACAAAGGTGGTCACGTTAGTCAACTGAAGATACATGGGGTGAACATGCGTTAACTAAGTCATTTGGTCTAAATTTAGTTAGATCTCCTTGCTCCTTGGTAAGCATACCAACTATCCATACGGTATAAAGTATGATAACCGAGAAGGCGGTGTATACATTTTGGTATAGCCTCAACATATGGTAAAGAAGCAAATTCCAGCTGCCACATTGACAATCGTTTTGATTTGTGCTAATTTTTAGTTATCTAGTTTGGATTTGGTAGACCAGTTTGGTGGTGAGGGTATAAACTTGGCCATTATCTGTATAGATACGTTAGGTACCTGTGAAAGTGGTTGGTAACCAATTTTTACTCAGCTAGAGATCTAAAGAGTACTAGGCCACAGTATGAGAAGGATTGGCTTCACCATGTTTTCGACACTATTGCTAGATTTTTTCAGTTGTAATTTTCTGTTCAGCCTTCCGAATCATTTAAAATTATGACAACACTGAGGTTCTGTGCTATGAAAATCGATAGTTATTGTTCCTAATATTGTGGATATCTTCTACCCACACTAATCATCTCGCATTACCTATATGTTATGAATAATTTCATGATCTAAAATGTCAGCATCTCTACCATCACCGATACTTCAGTTTGTTACTCTGTTACCATAGTTGAATTAAATCAAAGGTTTATTATTTATATTTTTACTTATGCTTTCGAAATCCTTCATTTGGTGTGGATATTTTGGAGGTGTGCTCTGTTCATCTCAAGATGAATGTTTGATAGCTTATATTATTTTTATAAATTAATAGATGTAAGGCTCTCAATAGTCTCGTTTCAAAGTTTTTCGGGGAAGGGGACTTTTGAAAAGCTTTCTGCAAAATGGACTTTATGAGAAGTTTCGACTGAGTATATTTGGAATTAAAATAAATGCAATTTTATGGCCCTATGATATCAATGATTTTTCTTTATCGTAATTCAAGAAGGAATGATTTTGGGGTTCAGAACCCAAAGCAACAGATACGTTTATATATTGGGATGAAATAAACGATAAAATGGAAGTTGATTAACTTTTATTTAAAATCTGGTACTCTCGCTAATAAGATCGTCATTGAGAAAGCGATTCTTCAGTCTTATTTACTTAACATGCTTCAAAATTCCTTAATCACTATACAATTTCAACAATAATTCAGGTAGGTACTCAATGTAAGTACAAGTTTTCTGTCAATCCAAATTACCAAAGAATTGCAAGTCAGGATTCGTATTATTCAATTGATATTCTCATAATAAATATATTGGTTATTTTTCTTTGTGATTGAAGATTTTCGTTTTCGATGATAATTTGACTAAGACTGCTTATTATCAAGGCCGTGCCCAGGATTTTTTTCGAGGGGTCCAAGAAAAAAAGAACTGCAATTCATCTTATTTTTTTCAACCAAAGGGAAAAAGTCCGATTTAACCCCCCCCCCCCCCCTTGGGCACATCCTTGCAGGGCAAGAGTACCATGCGTTACTTTTATAATCACATTAAGAAAGGTTCTTCAAACTGGTGAAATCAATATATTTTCTTGACTTTCCTTCATACAGCAGGTACTGTGAGTAGGTATAGAACTGAAACCGACTTTACTGATGTTGAAATTGAATGTTTTGCATTTACTTTTACTAGTTGTGAGCAATATGTTCCGTTTACGTCAAAATGAGGGGAAAAACTGTGCATTATTATAAATATAACTGAATTATTTTTCATCATTCAAAATATCTATTTGGAATTTACTTTAAATAACCCACGGAAGTACAGTGGAGTGTTTTTCATAAACTCTGTCTATGGTATAAAGTACTGATTAACTTTTATAATTTTTGAATTTCATATTTATCATGTGGTATAATTATAAAAACCAGGATCAGATCCACCCATCGCACAAATTCTTAAGATGAATGATTGATATTTAACCAGTGTCCAGAAAATGATTGATCAAATATCATGAGTATAATTATATATATGGTAAATTTCTTTAATGATGAAGATGAAACATTTACCAAGCAGGAAATAATTTTCTCAAGTTCGATCTGTCATTTTCTGTATTCAGCCCATCTTCAAAGTTGTTTTCGAAAATCTTATTCAATATTTATATTTATGTAGTTATATCAAGTGCCTGTTGCAATATTATTTATTATATCTTTATTTGTCTAGCATTTGGAACTCTTCTCATAAAATCAAATTAATATTCTAATCTATTACATTTTGGTTAAGTCATCATATATTTTCTTTGTAATAAGTAATCATAAAAATAATTTATTTATATACTTATTGATCTGAGATTGTATAGCCATTTTTATATTGTTTATGTGTTATAAATAGATACTAGATCATGAGCATCAAGAACAGGCAATGGTGTGTTGTAAATTGAATTATAATCATTACCAATTTAAATCAGGGATCAAATTATTTACAACACTGTTATATCAACATCTTCACACACAGATCTAGTACTTTTTGTACACATCTTTGAACTTGTTCACATTTATTTTTAGGAGAATTGTTATATACATGGTAGAATAAGGTTGAGAACGTATTTGAGAGTTAGGGCTTTGGGACGAAATGGCGATGGAAGAAAGCGAGAACTGCAGGTTTTGTTTTCGTGAAAATGAGTTTTTCTGTTCACCTAATTCAAGATGATGAAATTCATTGTTCACTAGTCAGCAACAACTGAATTTTTCTCTCAGAACATGAAGAGCGTCTTCAAATAAGCTTGAGAAACTAGTATCGGACTGTGTAGTTCCCAAAGTTTTTCCTAATGCTAATGTGTAACATAGCAGGATGTTTGGTAAAGAAGAAAGGTCAATTTTCATCCTTCTATATTTTTCTCTCCTTTCAGATGAAAATATCGATTTATTTATTAATTGATATGTAGGTACTTCAGGAGTTTCAAGAACATTTTGAGCCCCTAAATATTTTATTTTTAACTGAAAACGAAAAATATTCAGAATTTCATCTTCCTGCATGCATCAACGATTCATAAAAATACTTAGTTGGATATATATATTCGAAAATGTTTCTTCTGAATTTTTAAGTTGTTGATCAGGGCCAAAATATACGTGAAGGCATTGCATTTATGAATCCATGCAGTACCTGCCCTAGTGAATCTGGAATTTATTGAACCAATGAGAGTTGGCAGGCACTTTGAAAATGTTGACCTTTATAATAAAACAAAAATTTAGGAGTTTCGTATTTAAAACTTTTTAACAAAGTGTTTAGCAGTTTTTAGAATTTTGAGTTTGGCAAGGTTTGGATTTAATTCAGGGATTTTGTTTCTCAATTCGATAATTTGCCAATTTATTTATAATAAAAGTTTATAAGGTAAACAGGTTGTTTTCTTTCAGTTAAGATTTGATGATTTGAATAATAATAAACACTAGTGTCGTGCATAATTATTGCAAATGGAAATGAGGTTGCCTTTACTCTTTAGAGGCTTATTGTTGATATTTACAGAACACGACTATACGCATTACCCACCAGTAGGAATGTTCTGAAAAAGTGAAGAAAAAACGATAACAAAAATGATGTCGACGGCCATTTGACAAACTACATTCTCGTTCTGTAATAACCACTTTGACCAAATTTGACATTGACGTGAGGCTTTTATTCACTTTATCAGATGAATGTCGATGCTTCATACCGAATAAATGTACTCTTTCGTTATATTGTTCATTTCCCAAGAACATATAGAAACTAAATAAACTGATGGAGACGTGAAGATTGGCGATTTCGAATCAAAACGAGAACATAAAGCGGTCGAACCATTCCCTAACCTCATTCAGAGATAAGTTACCAGCCTCATTGTCAGACGAAACCCTCGGGGGGGGGCTGGAGGGGAAGAAAAAACATCCTTGAAAGCCTAAATCACTGAACAAATGATCACAGTGGACTAACGCCATGCTATTAGAGGACCAGAACTCTATGGCCAAACTCAGTGTCCATACTCTGTTATTGCGAAAAATAATCACCAGAAAACACGTTCCTAATTTCAACATATCAGGTAATGGGAATTGTTCGAAAGATTTAGGCACCTCTTTTTTTTTTTTTTTTATCGCTTGGAGCGCACGAAAGGGAATCCCTATAATGTTCAAAGAACATCGTGCGTTCCTAGGGAGGATAGGGATAGGAGGTAGGTATTGGAATTTTTTTTGAACTTCTGTAGGTTATATGTTGTTGGGAATACTTCCTCAGGCAATGAATTCCAGAGCCTAGCCGTTCTATGGATGAAGGAGTTTTGATAAAGTGCTGTTCGACATCTTTCGGGGTTGACAACGAAAGGATGTGCTGACTGGGCTTGTCTAGTTCGTCTGACTGGTATTGCTAGTGGAGGGATGATAGCAGAGATTTCCGAAGCACATTTCCCGTGGAAGTATCGATAGAAAAGTGAAAGGTCGCCGACCTTTCTACGGTGTTCCAATGATGTCAAAGAGTGAGTGAGTGTGGCGTCACCCACCAGGCGGATGGCTCTTCTCTGTATGGAATCTAAGAGCATCAGCGTATGTTTTGGTGCTGAACCCCATATGTGAGAACAGTATTCTAGAACAGGCCGTATTTGCGCTTTGTAGATCATGAGAAGCTGTTGAGGTGTGAAGTAGCTTTTCGCTCGGAACAAGAATCCGAGTTTTTGTGAAGCAGCTTTCGCGATGGATCTGACATGATTATCCCATGAAAGAGTGTTGCTGATGGAAATACCGAGCATAGATATGGTGGGCTTGGTTGAGATGGTGGTGCCAGACATTACAATGTCGGGCATACTGAGTTCCGCCTTTCTAGAGAAAATACAGGCTTGAGTTTTGGTGGCGTTGAATTCAACTAGGTTGTTGGTTCCCCAGGCTGTGATTTCAGCAAGGTCTTCATTGACAGCATTGACCTGCCTGCGCCGTGAGTTCTTAGTTTCCTGGGAAGAAATGGGAATTCTGGAAGAGAACGCAGTATGGAGGGTACTATCATCTGCAAAGCTGTGGATGGGGCAAGTTGTTACTCCCAACAGATCATTGATATGAAGAAGGAATAATGTTGGTGCCAAAATTGATCCTTGTGGAACGCCGGAATTGATGCCAATAGTATCCGACGATACACCGTCCACCACCACATGAAGTGATCTGCCTGAAAGGAAACTCGATAAGAGATGGCATAGCTGAGGTGGTAAGCCGTATGATGGTAGTTTGTGGAGGAGTCCTTCGTGCCAAACACGGTCAAATGCTTTCGATATGTCCAACGCGACAGCTAGAGATTCCCCGTGTTTTTCTATTGAAGCTTGCCATACATGGGTGACGTAGGCAAGTAGATCTCCAGTAGATCTTCGGTGGCGAATCTGAATCAAGTTGCCTAGTTGCCATGACAACACGGATGACAATGACATCATGTATAGAACAACATGGAAGACCTATCAACCGCCGTACCACTGAACTTTCATCAAATACTCCATATTTTTGATACTCAGGAAATACTACTGGTATCCACTACTGACAATTAACATTCTCAAAATACGAAAAGAAGGTTCTTCCGAAGATTTTACAACTGTTAAGGAAGTGAACTGCATTTGCAACCGTTCTCCTTGTAATGGGGACATTTTCAGCTAAATCCCTTGCAACCCTAATTTTTCAAAAATTCGCGGTAAGAAATTAATGGAAACAACAAATCAAAATTATCATTTATTCTTTCTATGATCCTTATAACTTTCACTACTGCTAGATCTTGCCCTCTCTCTAGATCTGGAATATTTTGACCTTTCATTATCGGACCTAGAAGGTGAACCATGCTTGTTTTTACTTCTGATGGATTTTTTATGGCCGATGGTCTTTTCTCTGCGCGGGGATCTACTCTTATCTCGATGTCTACGTTTGTCCTTCCTTTTGTGTTGTTTTCTGGACCTTTCTAGCTCACTGTCTGAACTGGATGATGAAGTTTCTTCCCTGTGCCTGCTCTTTGATTTACTTTCTTTTGATCTCTTCACTTCATATGATCTGGACTCGAGTCTGGACTCATGTTTGTCTCCTGACTTGTGACTCTTTTTGCTTCTGCTTTCTTCTGTATTTTCAGTGGATGTATTCCTAGTGGATTTATATTTTGTTGATTTCTCTTTTTCTTCCTCTTTTTTCACAATGTTAATCTCTTTTTCTTTGAATTCTTCATATTTCACCCTGTCTGGAATGAAATTATATTTCACAAGTTTCAGTAATGGGATGAAATTTTAAATAAAAAAGTGTCCTTTCTTACTCAATATTTTCGATCCTCTGGAGTATTCCTCTTTTGTTACAGGTACAACAAGAAATTCATTCAGTGCCAATATATCTCCTTTCAGAGAAGTTCTCACTATTATCCTACCACCTTCATCATCCAAACCTTGTACCTTTAGAGAAATAATATGAAATTAATACATACCAAAGGACCCCGCACCGCATCAATGGGAAATTGGCTTTCGGTGAATTTACTCGAATTTTTGATATATTGTAGAACTCGTGGTGCTGATCAAATGTCTCCATTGCACCAACGCTCTAAAATCAACAGTTACGATTATATAGGGTGATAAAGTTGACTTCCAGAATATTAGATAGTAATTGTGAAGACATCTTTCATAATTTCGAAACCAAATCAACTGTGCATTGATTGTTCGAATGACCGATACGAATCTACTATAAAGTATAATGATTGCTGCACGTACCAACAATATACAGGGTTGGTCGGAACATGGCGAATAATTCAGTGATTTTCGGAAAAGTGTGCGGTGGAATCTCATTTAAATTCTGTTGTATACAAATATCATCCCCATTTCGTGATATTAGCATATCCTAATCAGACATATTATATAGAAGATGTTTTATTTTTGATAAAGTCACATCCATGTTAGGTAACTATTATTGGCATCCTCATTATGACTTACAACTTGAACAACCTGTTGGGAATATCGTTCATTCCATGATGAATGTTCACCCTACAAATACTTGAAATATACGGAGTGGACGAAAAATCAATGGTCTTTGCTAATAATTTCTCAAGAGTAGTATGTGCAGATTCTTTTGGCCCATTTTATTGACCCTGTTTCATAACGACATTATATTCAATGAAAATGATTTGAACCATTCGATGTAGTATATTTTTGATAATATGCAGGTATCATAGGTTTTTCAGGTGATAGTGGAACAATCAACAATAGGAAACAAGAACAATGAATATACAGTTATTATGGATAACAAAATATTCTGATATTCAAACACAACAAAAGTTCTGTACCTCACATAGTATTTTACTTCCGTGTTATGACAAGCGATTATATTTCCTCGATCACTAATTCATAAAACGAATTCGTTTCACGAAATGAAAAAGTTGAATTTATTCAACTTCTTGAACAGTCTCCTGAATACAACTCGTCATACTCAATTCTAGAATACCTCAACCCTCAAACACTGCTGAAGTAAAGTAAACATGACAGTTAAAACAAAATTAAAGTAGTAAACAATATATTATGAATGACTAATTTCATGTATTCGTTTTTTTATTAGGTGTCATCATGTCAATGTTTTCCGGCATTGAATGCGATCCACAATTTATTGTTATTTCTTGGAATTACGGAAGCTTGAGTGAATTCTCATTCGTAAAAATCCATGAGCGTACGTATTTGAATTGAAATTGATTTTCATCGTGATATCATATACATCTTTCATATGAGATCCTGCCAATTTCACCTGGTATGTTTTCTGATTCTATATCGTGGCTTATACTAAATTGACTCTGATAGCCTTTTCTAACATCAAATTGGCTAATTATACATTGGCGTCTCTTGAGTCAAACAGACATACATACAAAAATACATATAAAGATGAACCCAACTATCTAAAATACATACCTAATGTAACAAACAATACTATCTGGTTGGTTTATAAGGTAGTATGAAAATCAACACGATGGCATAGTTATTATTTTTGAAAAGTACTCCTGACTTTATAGCCGAGTTCATAACGTACTCAATAAAGATAGAAGCAGCTATATTTGTTTCAATAAACATAAATATATAAATTATTCCAGATTTTTTGAGATTTTCTCACCTCGTTTCTATAAAATAAAAATATGAGTATCATTTCAATATACGTGTAGTAAAGACAAATCAGATGATTTGCCCCGCAAAGATGTCACTATCAAAGAGCCTAAAACAAAAATTCACCAGTATAATGATGAATATTTCACCTCCTCAATTAACCTACAGACAGTATTCAACAAATGAATATATAAATCAGTTGGAAACATACACACATATCATCATGAAATCATGGTAATATAAAATAATAGAATATTGAGTGAGGACGAATGATAAATTCTCACAAATGCCGAATGAATCTTTGATTTCATTCAATTACGGTGATCTCTTCTCAAGATGGATTCCATGTTCATCTTGTTCATGTTAAGATTGCTCTGGTTCAAATAATGTAATATGGCAGGCACATAGCAACTATATTCATCTGTTTAACATTGTCATTTGCAACTATTGCATCTGTCAAGTTCTTATAGAAGTCAAAGTAATAATTATTTGAAAAATGGCTAATCGTCGCCGATTGAATTGTTTTACGTGTCATTCAGCATTCAATATACAAAATATGGTACGACTTGAGGGAGAACCAAATGAAATGAAGAGAGAAATCGCTATTGAAAGGCGAGACCAAAGGGGACTTCCACATCTCGAATTTATGGATCTAACATGTTATTAAAAATATACTGCATCGAATGGTTCAAATTAGTTTTATTGATTATAATGTCGTTATGAAACAGGGTCAATAAAATGGGTCACAAGAATCTGCACATACTACTCTTGAGAAGTTATTAGCAAAGACCATTGATTTTTCATCCACTCCGTATATTTCACGGATTTTCAGAGTGGACATTCATCATAGGTTGTTCAAGTTGTAAGTCATATTGAGGATACCAATCATAAGTACCTAACATGGATGTGAATTTATCAAAAATAAAACATCTTGTATATAATATATCTGATTAGGAGATGCTTATATCACGAAATGGGGATGATATTTGTATACAACAGAATTTAAATGAAATTCCACCGCACACTTTTCAGAAAATCACTGAATTATTCGCTATGTTCCGACCAACCCTGTATATTGTTGGTACGTGCAGGAATCATTATACTTTATAGTAGATTCGTATCGGTCATTCGAACAATCAATGCACAGTTGATTTGGTTTCGAAATTATGAAAGGTGTCTTCACAATGTCTATCTAAAATTCTTCAAAAGTCAACTTTATCACCCTATATAATCGTAACTGTTGATTTTAGAGCGTTGGTGCAATGGAGACATTTGATCAGCACCACGAGTTCTACAATATATCAAAAATTCGAGTAAATTCACCGAAAGCCAATTTCCCATTGATGCGGTGCGGGGTCCTTTGAAAACAAAATTGGTTGCTTACCTCACAATAATTTCCTTTATGTGAACCAGCAATAATCTTGGCAAAAGCCCCTTTTTTAAGTGTTAGGGCTTGTCCATGTTTGTCACAAACTGGTTCACTTGGTGTCTCATTCCTAATTAGTTTACTTGCACCCAAGCCTAATCCCTTTGGTCTGAGTTCTGGTGCAACCACAGGCATTATCCTGAAATAATGTCAGAGTTGAAACACAATCATCCTTCATAACATATGAGCTTACTTTGCAGCAGTTTTACCAAGTCCTGAGCCTTCTTTCCAACCCATTCCTCTCAACATTGCAAGTCCATAATCACTAATGGGTACATTTTCATAATCTTCTAGAGTTGCTTCTTTTTCACCATCTAAACTCAAGTTTTCTTCATTCAATGGAAGGACATGTACCTTGGTGTTGAGAGATTCTTTCTCTGCAAGTCTTTTCTTTGCATCTGAAATAATTTCAATTCAATACAAACTATATTCAGAAGTATTTTCTTCAAAGTTCAAGATGAATGCCCATTTTTATAATGAGTAAATACCATTCAATAATTCTCGAGCTGCTAATTCATCAATGGTAAGTTCAGAATCTGGTCTGGTATCTGCTTCACCATTTTCTTGCTTTTTATCAGCTTTTGCTCTAGATGCTCTTACTCTATCCAGAAGATTCCTCTTATTGTCTTTGATTGGAATTACAAGGGGCTGCTTAACTATTACAACTGCACTGACAACATGAAAGTGAAGAATTTTATCAATGTCTTTGAAAAACTTTATGAGGTTAACTATGAAATATTGAACTCACTTTTTAACTATAATGGATTGACCTTCCAAACAGTCAATCAATTCTTTCTCTTCTTCTACAGGCTTACTTTTTATCACCATCGGCTTCTTACTAGCCTTGTTGAATGCGAATGTAATTTTTTTACCAGGTTCCATCATCGTCAAAGGAATTGGTTGGAATAAATATAAAGATAAATATGTAGAGTTCAACACTCTGTTTACTCACGAGCACTGCTTACTTTTACATAGAAGTGTATAAGAACAATTATTATAAATAGCAATAGCAAGCAGTCACACCATCACATATATTTCACAGTTACAATCAACCATAAATCAACTTTATTTACATTTTACCTTCATTTTACATAAATAATATTCATCTGTCATTTGAAGTCGATGACAGTCATGACAAGACAAGTGACAACTGTCCTTGAGACAAAATGGCCGACAATCAGCTGACGGCTATTGTTATTGTTTACGTGTCAACTGTCATCCTGTCACAAATTACCAGATAATCATTCATTATTCTGAGCAAAACTAGAAAGTTCAAATAGTAATTAATGAAATAAAGTGAGATGTAAATTATACGGCCAATTATAGAAATGGAAAATTCTAAAAGTAATACTGTTGTTCCTAATAATGGAAAGGAAGGACCCATTCGCTGTATATTCTTTTGTGAATTTCACCCAACTGCTGGACCAATAATCTCTTGCCAAGTGAGTAGGTCAGACAAATAGGGCATTTAATTGAATATTAGAGTGATGTGATTTTTTCATTACCTATCAGGTACCAGCTAATTACATATCAAAAGAGTTGTTTGATAGTATCAGTGTTTATATTATAACCAAAGCAGAGCTTCAAAAAAGTACAATAACAGTGTAAGTACCTATTTGTACTTTTATAAATTGTCTCATTGTGGTGGTGGTAGATTCATTATATTATAGGACTCTGAAGGACCACAAAATATTGGGTTTCCCAGTCCGCATTGATGATAAGAAGTATGCAAGAAATGCTTTCCACTTCAACTTATGCTTTGCCTGTGATAGTAATGCTAGAACTGTCCAATATGAATCTGTTGTTACAAAGTTCTCAGATTATTTGATGAGTATGGAGATGGATAATAATTTCCTGTCTGATGGCAAAGCCAGCATAAAACTCACTCCCATTTTGACTCAAGTCATGGAACAGCTCAACAAAACAGGCAATACAATTCATTCAATCAAATTATAGGAGGCTGAGAAATATTCTATATATTTTTAGGCGAATGTGCTCTTACAGATGGCCCCACAGCTACACACCTCAAAGTCTGTCAAATAAGGCTAGATCCGCCTTCAGTAATGGACCATCAAGTTCCACTGTTCATTAAAGCCTTACCAGAACAGCAATGGGATCTCACTACTCAACAAGTCACCCCTTATATTGATGGTTTCAATCATGTGGCCCGAATTGCTGCACTTTCTGATGTAGAAAATAATTTAGTGAAAGCTTGTGTCCAAAATCTGGTTTATTATGGAGTTGTTGCATTGGTACCCCTTTTCCAATATGGAAATGTGTATTGTACAACCCCAAAGTTGAAGCTGTTGGCTCAAGATATGCTGCTGCAGGTAGAATTAATTTAAATTGTGTTTATTTGAACCCTCAAAAAATTCCTCTAGGTACTTATTCATAAAAATATTAAAAATTATTTCATGTTTATGAAAATGTCCTGTTGAAACCTCTGTAAAAAAAGGTTAGACATTAGGACATGTTTGAATGGTGCTCACAATGTTTTCCATTTCTTCTCATTCTTTGAGTACCTAAGGATTCTAGTTCTAGATATAGTTGTATCTCTGTTTTACAAACGTAGTTGAACAAAGATGAAGCTATATAAACGTCAGATACCGAACTGTCAACTGTAAACCATCTATTATCAGTGGAACGTCGCCAGCGCTGTGTCCATGTTGATCAAACTATCTTGAACCAAACTCATCAATACATGAGCACTTCACGATAGTACTGTAACAATGCGTTCTATACGTGTGGCTGCCAGTTAACACTTTCGTCGCCTTGAATATTTTGATTTTATCGTCGTGGTCCAAAATTGTGTTTTGATGCCAATAAACGGTTCTGCGGGTGTACAATCTTACACTCTTATTATTGCAGTGTGTACATTAATATTACACCCACCCGGCGGCGAAAGTGTTAAATCTCATTTCTTCATAGAAAGTGTGATGCTGACTATTTCACGCATCACTTGATCTGACCAATCACAAGCTAGAGACAACTTGTGCTATTCAAAAACTAGCTGTCCTTCAATTTTGATTGGTCTATCAGAGTTATAGATATAGCGAAGCAAAGGCTGCTAGTTTAGCATAAAATAATTGTAGTTGTAGTCGTCAGAATAGATCGCTAATTCATAATAAATGCTTTTTTATGCTTCGTGAACGTGAAATAGTGTAGCGAAATAACACTATGTTCTTAATATCTTCTCATAATTATGTATTTCATTGCTGACTCGTATTGTATAGCAGTACCACTCGTCCCGACGGACTCGTGAACAATGAAGCGGCGCAGAATTATCTCGAATATTCAGAACATGTGATATTACTTATGATAAGTGTAAATATCATACAAAATTGTGGAAATATGTGATGGATAAGGTACTTCCATTGTATTCACAGATATAGACTTTCGAACAGAAGAGGAAAACTATAAATCTTCCCTTCTTCTATTCGTTTGATTCTTGCCGTTTCCATCCTCTAATCTCTTGAAGCTGTAGTTTTTTGAATCGAAAGTCATTGTTATCAAATGATACACCTATGTATGATTTGGTACAAGCTCTATTCACCGTATGAGCAACAGACTGTAATTGAACAGTGAATCGTACAGGACTATTCTTGGCTGATAATTCGAAATTTCACAGTATACTTAGTTAATTCCTGATCCGAAAAAATCTTGTCCTGCTTGGAGTGTTAGGAAACGAAATCGCGTATTTTTCGTCAAAGTTTTATGTTAAATTGTCTGAGGACATCCAGCCTACAAATACAAATGTATATGGACAATGAATCATTGAATAAGTATCTCAACGTCCAGTTTTCTTTTACTCATTCCTCCTTTGATTCACTACAATATTTTCTCTCCCTATGTTTCCATTCTGCCCATGTTTCTTATATATCATAATATTAGATCTGATAAATTTTTGCTACCAGGTACCTACTATCCTCTTCTACAATCAATTATTCTTTCCATATTGGTATTTCTTGAGGTACCTCTACCTAATCTTTCCAGAAAAAATGTCTGGAGTACGTGTCGAAGTCGAAAAGGCAGCTACCTACCTTAAGAGACGTTTTCAGAATGTATGCAGCCATGACCAGAGGCACCACTATAAGAGATCTTTGTGTTAGATTCAACCCACCGATTCTGAGGATAGACGAAAGAAAGCTGGTACAGTTCGGGATACTCGAACAAATAATTCGAAGGGTCCACAAATATCCGGTGATATTGAGCGAACAGTCCGACTTGCAAAAGAGCCTTTCTGGCGCTTCTTGCTTGGACGAACTGTGTTGCTCCATCGGAGTTACTGCACAGCAAATGGAGGATCAGCTGGAGAGAGACCACAATGTTGTTATGTTGTGGAAGTGAGACTGGAACGTCCTCGAATTATCGAACTTTATTTCTTGATTTTGTGATATTTTGAGATGATTGAATAAAAAACATTTCATGACCAATATTCTTTCATTTCCACTAACATCAAAATAATAAAGAGCTTAATTTTTCGTGATTATTGTTATTACGTACCTTCTACACCGCACATACTTGATACAATTGAGGAATTGAGTAATTTTATACCTTCTGTGAATACTAATAATCTGCTCATGATTACGGAGACTATAAGAGGAGTATAAATAGTAATAATATACTCCAACTACAACTATGGAAATCCTTCTATGAATCTCTCATATGAATCTAATAGGCGTTTTCGGAAACTTACTCGAGTTGTTCGGATCCCTCTAACCTGAACGTTCGGTTACCCAAACCGAGTTACCTACTTCACGATGCTAACTCGATCACTGACTCGGGTTGATTTTTCGTGACCCTACTCAAAAGCAGGGTCGCCAGAGTTGCAAAGGACACCGCATGCGCATTACGGAAGTTGAGTCAATCGAAAAACGCGGGAGTTTACATTCGACGATAACAATAATAATAAAATAATTTATTTCTGACAGTGACATTATAAGCTTATATCGTCATAGTTACGATATCTATAATGAGGGTCATAACTTCCTTGGGATGTTATAGATGCTATAATTCCCTCTAGCTGAAATTAAATAAGAAATGCATAGCAACAACCAGGCAATAACGTAGCAATAAGGAATCTCCTATTCGCGGTAGTCAAGATCATCATCTGACGTTCTGATGACATTGAAACTATACGGAAAAACATGTCTAACTTCCAATCGGGAAGGTATCTAATGAATGAAATCAGTCAGAAATAAAATTATCTATGTATCACGGGAATTATAGAGCCTTAATAACCTCTGGCAATTGCTGTCCCTCGGGCCAGAGGCCCTCGGGACGCAAACTTTGCCATCGGTAATTAAGGCCCTCATAATTCCCTTAATACATAAATAACTATTGCATGTTGGGAAAAATCACGACCGGTGATATACATGTTCTTTTCAATCTTCAAAATTTGATTAAAGTAATTCACTGAGAAGAGAATTTGGGCAGGGGTGAAGATTGTGGTTATGTGCAACATTACATATGAGACAAGTACACCAATCCACAGATAAATATAAATATTTGTAATCAGATCAAATAATTACTTAAATATAATGTGACCATTTTCGTCTGTCAAATTCATGAAACCACAGAAAAATATAATATTCAGTGTTCCTAACCTGACACGTTCGTAAACGTTGAACACGAGTAGATGATCCGAGTTTTTTGTCACGTGACCTATCTGGATCGAGTTATCAACCCAGAGTAAGTTTTCGAAAACGCCTAAAGACTATACCGAGATGTTTATAATTCCTCTGGTGTGCCTACTGCGAGTTCGGAACGTGGGGTTCTTATATTCGATGATAGATGGCGTGAACGATGGACAATTCCTTGAAAAATATCAAAATGCGTTTCGAATCTTATCATGAAGTTGGACTAGACTTTCAATTATGTGTTTTCCTTCTTCCGGGACCTGAAGAGACCCGTTGATGATGCACGAATTCAATAATAGCTGAAAAGAAGCATCTAAAATCATGACGCAGAAGAGACAGGGCGCAACAAATAATCCGTGTGGAAACTACTTGAAATATCTGACACGAGTGTCATGATTTGTTCCAAAATAAGAGCATCAGTAGTTTATTAAGCAGATATTGATTTGATATTATATTATTAGTTGAGTGAGTGTATTGTGTCTTTCAGAGGTGTGTATGTAATCAGAATACTGAAACAGATTTTTTCATCATAAGTATTAGGAGCTCTGAGCATTCGTAAAGCCAGCGACATCTATATAATAACAGTTTGAGCTTCCTTTCCGAACGGAGAATCGGTACAGTGTCGTGCTAGGACTGCAAAGCAAGTTCTGTTAGGTACGGGTAGAGGGCTCTAGTATGCTTTTTCAGGGGTTCCCCAAATCTTTTAAATAATGGAAACGAAACAAATCAACGTATTTTATGTTTCCTTTTTGCTATGTTCTACTAGATAAAATGTTGGTTTCAGTGCACAGTATATATAAAAAGGTATATACATTATCAATAATAATATATACATGCAGCCAACCAGCAATAAACATATCTAAAGCTGTTAAAAAATAGTTAGGCATGGATTTTATTTCACTTTGTTGTTTATATTTATATGTTTACATAATGAAAGTGCATGTTTTGCTGTAAAATTATTTTTCTATTAAAAAAATCAAATGCCAATCGTTATTCAAATTGTTAGTCCAAAGTAGCCTGGTGTGTATCGAAAATATAAAAGACACCACCGTAGCACAGAGTGAACAAACCTTATTTGTTAATCTGTGAACTTAGCGGGGCGTAGCGGTATTTTTGTGGTGACGTAGCGACCGAGGTAGCGACCTTAGTAACTTTCTAGTTGGCAACACTGCCTCAGATTGACAGATTCTAAGCAGATAACCTACCAGTCGTTCGATCAGAAATTTAAGGTAAGCTCACCAAAATATAAGAAATATAATTATATGTCATATTTTTTTCTAAAATTGAGATAGCCAAATAGTCTCCTCTGGTCTTTCAACCCTGTGCATGATAGCTGTATACTTCAATGGGATTAATATTTGTTTTCAGCCTTATCACCACCTCCATGAGCTCAAAGTTCATTTTGTGTCTTTCCTTCACCTAAAATTCGAAATTATCGGATATGATAGAATAAGACATGTCGACTTATAGATTCATATTTTGTTTTTTTTATCAAATGTGAAGTTTATCTCCCTTTTTTATTTGTTGTTCTTATATTTATTCTATGAATAAAGACGTTTAATCGTATTATAACGATTGTACTTTCACTTTTACTACCTACATCACCCTGTACCCTGTACGACAATTTTAAATTTTTTTAGCATGAAATCGTCCGATAAATAAGGGATGAGATCAAACCTATAAACGCAATTTTTCAGCGTGGAAATCAAAGCGTCTGATGATTTTACCCCAAACCCCGACTTATATCGTTTTTGTTTCGAATAACCGTGTCAACTTCTGAAAGTTTTTTTTTTCATGTAAATATATGTTCAGTAGGTTAACTTCTCGCTAGCTCTATAATTTCGTGTAACAAAAGAACCGGTTGACGGTATAGGTACCTCTATAGAGACGGATGGATATTTAGGTAGGTGCAGTCGCATTAAAAAAAAGCGTACAAGTATAGTACAGAGAGAAATTAACGTCATCCTATTCTGCATAAAATGGTCTATCGGGAATGATTGTTCATCCAAATGTTGACATAGGTTCATAGGTTCTCAAAAACCCAAACATTGGCTGAGCCTGTTTTACACAACTAGAACTAGCATCCCGAAATCCTCTCTTTTTATTTGAATACGACTGTACATACCTATGAATTTATCCTACCCGTCAGTGGCGTGAATGCAATGAAAACTGGAAATGAAGAAAACACGGTCCATTTTTCTTGAATAATTTATTTGATAGGTAGGTCATATGCCATAAGTGTATAATAAAAATCAATTCAATATGTACAATTATTATATAAGATAGTAAAAAGATAAGTATTTTATTCGAGATCTGATGACACAACATGCATTGGAGTGTTTTCCTTACGATTTCTGCCAATTATTGACATGGTGTGATACACAATGACAAAACAATGAAAAGGAGTGTTAATTATTGATGAAGGTTCTATCTAAAACGAAAGACACTAATAACTATAATTTGTGGATTTTTTTTCTGAAAGTACCTGCCCATAAATACCCGAATTCGAAATGGATATATATATATAATATAATAGGTATAATAAAGTGACGGTACCTTTGCTGATTCACATTTGATTTTCTCACATTAGGTATTTCTGCATTGAATTTCGAACTCAAATACTTCGAAAGTTAACAGGTGGATTTCACTGTATGTTATACAGGGTGAGTCATGAGGAACTGTACATATTCCTACCACGGATAGAGGCCCCTTCTTTTCCAATATATAGGGTGAATTATGAGATTTGGCAAAAACATCTTTTGGTCATAAGTTTCCAACAGCTTCTTTCATTTTCAGGCCTGGATTTAGTGATTCAATTTTTTGTGGAAAATGAAAATCACCCTGTTGATCTTTTTCGAATCAGTGGATGATGTAAACTACTCAACACTAATTTCGTCGCACACCAAAATGTCGCTTCTGTTATAATGTGAATAACTTTTATCAGTTTAGAACAATTTGAATTTGGTTCACACTGTTCGATAGCCCAGTCCTTCAGCTATAATCTCGTACTTCATTGAAACATAAGGGTATTCACATAAAATCTACATGGTGTTTTCCGACACTGTGCGAAATTTCGGAATATTCAAAAGGCTCTCAAATGGTGAAAAAAATTTTTTTCTCAACTTCGACAACAGAGGCATGAAGATGATCTCATTACCTCGAGATATTTCGCGAATCAACTTCCTATCTCTCTTATTTACAGGGTGATCTCAAAAAATCAACTTTTTGGTTTTGCAGCCATAACTTTTTTTTACGTCAACCGATTTTGGAAATCTTAGGCTCATTTTGAAGATAAAACTTCAGATGAAGAGACCTGAATATCAGAATTGACTCAAGATGGCTATCAAAGATCTAGAGTTTTCTTGAAAATGACCCAAATCTGGAACGCCCTTCGAATCTTGGTTGGGAGGAGAATTGAATGAAAATCAACTTGTAACTTGTTCTCGGAAAATCAATTCATTCTGGATGCGTCCATATTTTTCTCGCTCTCAGTAGTCAAGAATTGTGCGTGAGAAAACACAATTGAAACATGTTCTTGCAAAAACATTAGATCATTTCTACTCTGTAATATGCATGGCCCGCCGTACCAACGTTACAAGAATCACAATGAGTGACTGACAAACCCGACCATCATAAATGGTGTGCCAACAAGAGCAACGGATTATGATTTTTTCAATAAAGTGATTTTTTTAACAGTTGTCACGTACATAACATGCGATTTAAGAATATGGAGAAGTATTCAAGCAAACAACGTTTATTTATTGTGAAAACGCATTTCAAAAATGGTGAAAGTTTCACGAAAACAGTTTGCCATCAA